GATAACATGAGATTTTACCACAAAAGTCACCACTGACAGGCTGATAACCTAAGTGAATGGCTTGAATTTCTCCACAAATCCCTGCCACAGCCAGTGAAAAGCATGGCTCAACCCAGGATCCCATAGAGTTAATTTGCCACATAGTATGAGTGCTCTGGCTAAAGGCCCGTTGCTGGGGCAGGGAGGGGCCTCAGGGAATATCTTTTTCTTCCAGGCCTGCAGCCACTAGTCATGGGGTTTCCTTTACAGGGATTTCCCCAGAATGTGACCATTTCATCACATTGGCCCTCTCCTCAGCTGTGGAATCCCACTTTCTCCCTCTGGGATAGAAGCTGGAAGAATTTCCTACAGCAGGGCAGACTGGTAAGGAGCTTTGGCAGGGCAGGGGAAAGATCAATATTAAATCTGGGGCCATGCAAAAATATTCTTTCTTACTAAGCCCAGAGGGCCAGCTTCTGTAGATAAGGAAGGGAAATGGGAAAGAAGGGACAGAACTGTCTTTCCCCAGGAGGGCTGTGGGTTCAGCACTGGCAGTGGACAGTAAATTAGGCCAAGACACCTCCTTGAGAGTGCAAGGTCAGGATCTCACAGAAACGTGAGCCGGTATGGCTTAGTGGTTTTAAACACAGACTCTGGAGCCAGACTGCCTGGGTCTAACACTTGCTAGCTTTGTGACCCAACCACCTTGCTTAATTTTTATGTGGTTCCCTTTTCCCCTTTGAGAAAAAAGGGAAGAATAGGAGTATCTACCTCATAGATTTGTTGTAAGGATTAAGATGCTTAGTGAATGTAAAACACTAGAAGAAAGCTTAACAAATACTAAATGAGTGTTGTTAATAAAATAAATAAATGAACATGGGGGGAAGGTGGTTAATTTAGTAAATGATTACTGTATGCTTACTATGTTCCAGGTACTGTGTTATTTAAGTTTCAGTGTGGGAGCAACTCACTTTGGAAATATGCAAAACTGAATTCTGCTCCAGCTTCACCCTTGGCTGTGGCCTGGTTGGCCTTGTATTTAACCTCTTGGAGTCTTGGTTCCTGTACATTTAAAATATGGATAATAGTAAGGGTGGTTAAGAATAAATGAGGTAGTATTTGTGAGTGTGACGTATAAATAGAGGCTCACTTAAGTGGAAATACATGGCTTTGTGGACCTGTAAGACAAATACAGCATACATTGATGCCAAGTCTTATATTTTAGTTAAAACTCAATTATAAAATCATGCATCACTTGCATAAGTAAAAAACAATAAATAGCCAAGAGTGTGTGTGAAAAAAAATACCTGTGGGTTTTAGTTGACCACAGGTTTCCTATGAGCCAACAATAGGATCTGGCTTTCTTCGGACTCATATTTTAGATGCCATTAGTAGAAATGGTGACAGAAAGTAATCAATTCTCAGCTCTCCGTCCTCTGTGCTGGTCAGACCATTGTAGATATACAAGACTGTATCCTGCTTGTAATATTTCTGGATGGACAATGGCAAACTCACTGAAAGACTGTCTAGAAGTAATGATATGGGTTGGGAGACATTGGACAGCTCTTTCTTGAGGATGCAATTAAAATAATTCAGGAATGGAAACACTAAGGCAATATTTGAAACAGCTCTTTCTTCAATTAGAAATGTTTACAGAACACACCCCACACCCAATCTGTCAGCAAAACCTGTTGGCTCTTTCTTCAAATTATAGCAATAATCTAGCCATTTCTCATTGCTGCTTCTGTCACCACTCTGGCCTAACCCAGCCTGTCTTGCTGGAATTATTGCAATAGCCTCCTAGTAGATCTCTCTGTGTCCTTCCTCCATCCTTTCTTGGTCTGCTCTGCATGGAGGACGCTGGATGGTGCTATTTAAGTACGACTCGTGTAGCTTTCTACTTCATTCAACAGGTAAAACAAAGTCCTTACAAAGACCTTCACGGTCTTTCCCAGCTCAGTTCCCATCACCTCTCAGGTTGCATCTCCTTCTCTACTCCTCCTGGTTTACTCTAGTCCTACTAGAACCATTCCACAACCAGCCAGTTGCTCTTCTGTCTCAGGGACTTTTTACTTCCTTTCTGTTACCTCCAACCACAACACCCTTTCTCCTTCACACCCTTGAAATCATAACTCAAATGTCACCTTCTCAGTGAGTTCTGCTCAACCATCCTTTTAATACAGCAACAAGTTCCGCCCACAAAATGCATCCCTTTATCTCCTTTCTCTGTTTTATTTTTATGATAGATTTCTCTCCATGTAATATTCCGTATAGTTCATTACCATTTATTTTAATGATCTGTTTCCCCACTAGAAGGGTAGAAATTGTTTCTCTCACTGCATATTCAGTGCCCAAAACAGTTTCTGCTGTACAGAAGGCAGACAATGAATACTGCAGAATACGTACATATAGAAAATATATACAAAGTGTTGCTCTGGTTGAACTTGACAAAGAGTGGAGTAGGCGTGAAATCTGCCACCTGTGAAACCTGGATATTTCAAGTTGACCATATGAATATATTTGCAAATGAATGCTGGCCACCTTCAGACAGTACCGCTGTGTGAGATCTAATGAACTCAGGGAGCACAACCCCCATTTTCTCAGCTTTCTGGAACTACTATGTGTAAGAAGTATATTTGACCTAGGTTGTAACTTGAGTCCGAATTAGAGCCAATGACTGTGGAGGGAATTGATGCAGGCAGATGCAGGACCAATCGAAGAATTCGAGTTCTCAAGTTATCTCATGACATGGTGAGCACCCTGTCCCTGAGTATGCAGGAAGAGGCTGTGTGTCTCCCCAACAGCTTTGCTACAGAGGAGAGTCTGTACTGGATAGCTCAGTGCCACAACAATCTCTGTGCTTCTGAGATGCTAGAACCGAAGGTATGTGAACTGGAGGATCAGGGGGAGTCTGCATTTGTTTTCTAAAACTTGGGAGAGGTTTTGGCCTTTCTTTTTGGAGTCCCCCCAGACAAATTCTCCACCCTAATTGAGATTCCATTTCCCAGAAATTACCTGATGCTGGGCTGATGATTAGAGGCCAGCCAGGGGTAAAGGGACTGATTCCCATGGCAACCAGGTTGAAAAAACGTACCATGTGGAGAATTGTCAGCAACAAGCTATGTTGGCATGATAAATAAATATTTAACTCATTGAGATAGTTGTGATGATTTTTGCATTATAAATAAATAATTCATTTGGCAGACAGTGTGAAAGTTAAATCCCAAAGCCACTCTTTGTCTTTAAGTATCTCAGTTAATTGACAACTATATTTTTCCTTTCTAATACATGTAAAACAATTCTCTACGTGAAAGAACTGTATGTGTGATTGTTGTTAGAAAGCCAGCTAATAGGCCAGTGTCAAAATATTGCTTACTATCTGTTTCTTGCTTAAAGCTTTATCAGACTTTTCTCTAATTACATGAATATCTCCATTTGAACATTTTTTTGACACAGGAGACCCCGGGTTCAATATCTGGATTTCACATGAGTACTTTTCCTGTTATGTTTGTCTTTTTTTCGCTCTGATATTCTAACTTGGAGGCTTCTCTGAATTTCAGTCCTTGGCTCTCTGATCTTTTCTTCCCATTTCTCTTTTCCTTGGTGAACAGCTAAAGCAATTGAGTGATCACTTTTTAACTTGTACAGTCCTATCTCTAGCCTTGACAGTATACACTTTGAAACACCCAAAGATCAGAAAACAAAATCTGAGCAGATCAAAGGACTTTTATCCTAAAACCAAGGCCCAAGGATGGGCCTCCTTCCAGTTTTCAAAATGTACACTTCAGCTGAGGATTAGAGATGCAGAGTTTGAGGGCAGAGAATGGTGTTCAGCACAAAGCAACAATTAGCTTTGGACAAATTCAAATGTAAAAGCACTTTTGAAATGCAATTTTTAGAAATGCTGTAAGAAATTAGTATAAACGACTAATAGAATCTCATCAAATGGAAATCAGAGTGGGACTTTGTACTTCTACATTCCAAAGAGCTTAATACAAATTAGTCTATAATACTCAGAGTGTTTCTTTCTGTAAGGATTAAGGGAAATGGGATGCATTTTTTTCATTAACTTGCTGGGTAAATAAGCTTCCTAATGCAAGAATATAGGAGTTCCTTTCTCAACTTTATTGCAATAGGGATAAATAGCTCACTTTGTTTTGAACTCCTGCATATTGTTCTGTTGAACAGTGTTTGCTTAGAATTAAATAGACCTGGGATGCAAGAACATTAGGATCACACTTGAAGGGGTCAAGACCTCCTCTAGGATCCAAGGAATAATTCTGAGGTCTTAAACAAGCTTCAAGGAAATAGGTAAGCCTCCTTTCCTAATCCAGTGTATACTGAATTCCTACCCATGGAGCAAAGGGCATGCTGATCCAGAGAGAACGGGTCAAGGGCTGCTCCCATGTGGGTCCTGGGAGGGGATACTAGGAAGTCCCTACTTTAAGCCACACAGGTCACCGGTTTACTTGTGCCCTGAGATCCTACCACTGGAGGTCAATATCTTTGGGAAAATAAGGCTGTCTGCAAACAGGGCAAAGTTTAAGTTTTCATAAATTGTTCATATTTAAGACTGAGTAAGTTTATACCCTGTGATTGGTCGTATATGTCACAGAGCACACTTTCCTAGTTTCAGAGATCTACAGAAGGCCAAATCTACTCTTTGAAAGCAGTTTACTAGGTATGAACATAAAAGTAACATGGTGAAAACAATATAACTTTAGTGTTTATCTTCTTAAGATGCAACTTGGACAGAACATCGTGATTCATTCATTCATTCATTCAATAATGGAATAGAAGGAGACTGCGTTCAGTGATCATGTCTCAAACCAAATAGTGAAGCACTATTTTGGAACCCTCCCTTCTTCTCTACTCCATCTTTGAAATAATTTCTCTGGCCTAGTAGCCTCACGTCCTCTTATTCAGCCACAGAGGACAGCTTCGGTATGCCATTTATGCTAAGTTACAAGTGCGGGGGGGAGTGTGACAGAACAAATGATGATCACTACCATAGTTTTTGCAGTTAAATAGTGAATAGACTCTTTATTCAGAAGAATACATTATAATAGAATTTCATGCACCAGTAAGTCAGTACAGTGAGGAATGGGGGTGCGGAACCTCTCTTCAGCAAACATCTCGACCTGGTGGAGCTTGCAACTCCCAGAATCCCCTTGACTCAACTTAGGTTATCAGAGGTCAAAGAACAGTAGATGGGGCTGACTCCCAGGGTAACTAATGAGAATCTCAGGTCTCTGAGGGTGAAAGAGAGGAGAAGAAAACTCTGGAAAATAAGATCATTATATTGGGACTGGCACATCCACTGAGAGCCCCCGGGAGGTTGACGAGGGCGAGTTCGTGGTGGTCCCTGTCTCTCCTTCTTGATTACACTCCTCAAGCACTATGGTCTGGTCTCTGCCATCTGTCTCTGAACCCCTGTGTTAGGAAAAAGGAATCAGTAAGAGAGTATTCAGAACCATCAGTGCTAGAGAAATGTTTGGACCATTGTTTTCCCAGCAGCATTTGCTTTCCAGAAGGAGCCTCGGATGAGCATTTACCTGGTTCGCAGTCGCGGCCACTTCTTCCATTCTACAGCTAGCACCACCCCCAAGGCTACCACAACCACCACGATCAGGCTACTTCTGACAATGTTACCCACAGTGCACTCTTGAGTGGTAGGGCCTGTGGTGTACAAAAGAGCACAGTCAAAGGCCATGAAAGTTAGCAAATGGTTTCTCTTTCTCTCACGTCCACCCCTCACTTTGGACTCCCGTAGAGTCATAAGGGAGCTGCATGTGGAGCCTGCAGAAGGGATGGTCACTGGTGGTCCATCTGTCAAGGCAGACAGCCTACTTTTCTTGGGGTGGGGAGGACCCTGCAAACACCCTGTTAGGGTCCCACCTCCTCACCATCCTTAAGAGAAAAATGGCACACTTGAGTTCTCCAACTTCAAAGCCTCTCCTCTTTCCTGATCTGAACAGTCTCCACAGGGGCTGTCCCTGGGGTTCCAAGTGTGCCAAGCCAGGAACCTTTGTGGAGGGACTATGCACTCACCCGCTGCTCCCACCAGCTCCAGGGGATCACTAGGCTCTGACCAGATATCAGGGGAGGCCTGGAGGCGGTAGCTGCAGCTGTAGTTTCCTATGCCTTTTCCTTCTACGTTGTTGATGACAAAGTCTCCATCCTCTGAGAACTGCTGAGGGGCTTCCTCCCCCTCATGTTCTAGGACAAATTCCACACCTGGCAAGGGTCCTCGACACTGAAGGGTGATGTCCTTCCCCAGCTTGAACACAGTGTTGGGCCAGGCTGACAAAGAGGGTTTAGGAGGCTTATCTGCAACCAACAAAAATAGAGTTAAGTGAGCCAGCCGTGAAACTAACCCCCTACCTCTTATTGCTAAGTGTTAAAATCTACAAAGTCTAAGTTGTTTACTGAAATCTCCATGAGCTTACCAGTCACCCAGATCTCCAGCGAGTCACTGTGATTTGAAGCTGCAAAGGGAGCAGAGTCCAGATAATAAATACAGCTATAGATCCCAGAATCTTCACCTCTCACCACTGGCATCCAGAAGTCTGCCCTGTCCCCTCTTGGCCTCAGATGTTCTAAGGGTGCTTGAATCCCTTCCTTCAACAGGACAAACGTTGAGTCTGGCAGTTCCCCTTGGCACTGCAGAGTCACATTTTCTCCAGGGGCCACCATGGAGCCAGGCTGGGCTAGCAAGCTGGGTTTGGGGAGTAAGCCTGGAAGAAATGGATCCTAAGTCAGAGAGCACAGGCCACTTCCCAGTGCATCAGTGGAGCCTCTGTTCAGTAAAGAGGGAAGACCACTGCTGGTCTTCCCTTGGGTTTTTTTTTAAAACATCTCTCATGAACCAGTGAACTCCCCGCTTTGTACGCTCGCACGCCCACAGTGAAGCGCTGCTCCCTTACCTGTGACCATGAGTTCCAAGGTGTTGCTGGGCTGTATCTTTATGGAGCTGGTCCAGTCAGGGTGGTAGCAACAGCTGTAACGGCCTATGCTAGCAGCAGATATATTGGTGATGGGGAATGCCCCATCAATACTAGTGGACCTCCAGAGCAGCCTTGAAGTGGGTTCTCCTTCCTTGTGCAAAATGTACCCTACTCCATGGACTGGCCCCTGGCACCAGAGTGTAACATTCTGCCCCATGGGCACCACAGAACTGGGTTCAGCAAATAGCCACGGCTTGGGGAATGTGTCTAGAAAGAGAACAAAGATGGACAGTGGTGAATATGGGAGTTTCTCACTTCCAGAGTTAACCTTTTAACTTTGTCCTGGATACTATTGTTCGTGTCTGTGGTTTAGTATGGCCTTCCAGAAGAGACTACCCTTGTTAACCCCTGCTCCACTTGTCTCCATCCCAGTCCCCTGCCTTGTCTGTCCTTACCGGTCACCCAGATCATGAGAGGCATACTGAAATACGAGCCCCGGTTCGACATGGTTGTCTCATAGTAGATGCAGCTGTAGTTCCCAGAGTCCTCTGCTCCCACAGTGTGGAGGAGGAAGTCAGCTGAGCTCCCTGTGGCACTCTGGAACTGTAAGGGAGCCTGGGAGCCCTCCTGCAAGAGGGCAAACCTCATGCCTGTCAAAGTCCCTTGGCAGCGCAGGGTCACATTCTTCCCAGGAAGCACCACTGGACCTGGCTGGGCCAGGAGAGTGGGTTTGGGGTAGAATTCTGAAATTAAAGAGATCACAACATGAGAAGTCCGCCCACTGCATTCTGCAAACAGTTTTTACAGTGTTAATATGTGATACAATATGCATTTATTATAGAAAATATGGTAAAAACCTCAGAAAAAACAATTCCACCAAATCTAAGATAACTATCTATGTATTTTCCATTTACTTTTCCTATATATGCTTGTGTGCATGTAACAATAACTACATAATTTGGACCCCACTGTATCCGCAGTTTGGCAATCTGATATTTTTCACTTAACTTTATATTGTAAACCCTTCCCTGTGACGTTAAACAGCCTTTGAAAACTATCATTTGTAATGGCTGCAGCTGACGTTTCAAGGTCTCCTCCCGTCCTCTGAGGGCCATCCAGCCCACCAATCTCTGACAGCCCAGCTGAAGAAAAAGTGGACATTGAACCTAATGCTCAAGGCCAAGCCACAGAAGGATTTCAAAAATAGAGCAACTTCAATTTGGCTGCTGGACTAGGCACCCCCATCTGCCTTACTTCTCTCCTCAGAAGTGAGTTACGTGCTGTCCCCTCCCTTGCCTCTTCTTTCTGTAATAATACGGGACCAGCTGTCCTACAATGGTCTGTTCTCCATGAGACAGGCACTGTCCTTAGCACATTCTCAGTGTCTTTTAGAAGGAGCATTGCTTCCTTTCCCACTGATGACCTTTCTGTCCACCGTGCCAGGCTATCACCACCTCTACCAGGATTTTCCCATTTCTAACCTGTCACCACAAGTTCTACTGCATCGCTGGGCTCAGACCAAATATCAAAGTCATAATAGCGGCAGCTGTAGTTCCCTCCATCGCCAATGCCCACTGAAATGATGAGGAAGTGAGCTGTACTGGCCCCTGGATTTGCCCAAGAGCGGTCACTGGACGCTATTTCACTGCCATCTTTGTACAGAATAAAGCTCATGTGCTGGAGTGGAGTAGAGCAGTTGAAAGTCACTCGGGTACCCAGGGTGACCAGAGAGTTGGCCCATGTCTTGAAGAAGGGTTTGGGGTACATTTCTAGGAGGCAAAAACAAAACAAACAACACCATGAACATACACACAACACAAAAGCATGTTAAGAAAAAAAGCAAACAAATACAACAAATACTGCTTCTGGGCAGCTGCTCTGCTTTCTATAGTGTTTTCACTCCAAAGTAGGTGAATTTAAAAATCGTACAGGGACCACCCTACCTTTGTGCCTTATTGCCTCTCAGTGAATGCCCTCTGTCACTGGGCCAGGCAACAGAGGCTAGTAAAAGGCCTGAAATTTCACTGGGTTCTCTGCTGGTTTCCCTGCTGGTTCTCTAAGCCTCAGTTTGCCCATTTGGACAAGAAGGGGGAATGATACCTGCCCTATCTCCCTTGAAGATGTGCACTATAGTTACATGAGATAATTGAAGGGAAAATAATTAGAAAACTTAAATCACCCTCCACAAAACCAAGCTATTAATAACGATTATGGCTATTAATATCGTGCAGCCAGAGGCCCTGGCACTCCCAGCGCCACGCCTGCCTGGCTCTAAGATTGGACACAGACTCCTAGGACCAGCAGCAAAGCTTGCCATGGGGAGAGGAGTGTCTGATGGAGGCTTTGCCTTCACCTCCTCCCTCCTAGACCCATTTATTTCAGCTCTACCTTTTATGACAAGCTCCAGGGGCTCACTGGGCTCAGACCACTTGAAGGGGAGTGTTGTTGTGTGTGTGCGGCAGCTGTAATTGCCTTCATATTTATCTTCCATTCTTCGGATTGTAAAGAAGGCTTCTCTCCCCACAGCACCAAGTTGCTGGACAGGTTCCTGCTCTCCCTCCTTGTAGAGAGCAAACTCCATGCCTGCCAGCCATCCTTTGCACCGGATTTGCAGTTCCTTGCCCCGGATTGGGGGAGAAGCTGAAAGGACAGGTTTGGGAAGGATGTCTGGGAAACAAAATGAAGTGGAGAAGGAGTCAGAAGTTTGGAGGAGCCCAGACGGCACCCTCAGATTCACTTTATCAGCAAAACAAATAAGAAAACACAACAACAAGAAAATCCATCCTGGGCTACTCCTGGGCCCTTCCTGTCAATCCCCTCTCTCTTTCCCACCCCGCTCCCGCCTCAGGGCCCCTCCCCTTCCCCTGCAGCACCGGAGTCCCAGGGGGCACCGGGGAATCACTCTGGGAGCACCCGCTGCCTTTTCTTACCTGACCCCACCAGCTCAAGTGCTTCACTGGGCTCGGAAACAGCCATCTCCTCCCATGAATGGCAGTGGTAACTCCCTCTGCGACCCTGGGTCAGGGCGCCAAGGGGGAAGGCAGCCCGGACCTGCTCTGAGGCTGGGCGAGTTGCGATCCACCCGGTCCCATCCTTCAGCAACACAAACTCCTTCGTCGAACCAGAAGGGCTTCTGCACCACAGGGTTAAGTTCTTCCACGGGGCCTGAGGGAAGTTCGTCTCTGCCCACAGCTCAGGCTTAGGGGTTGGCATGATTATTTCTAGAAACAGTAGAGTTAATGAAGCCATCCTCTCTCCTCTTCCCAGCTCCTTTCCTTGCCCTTGAACCCCTACCCAGATCACACTGCCTACCTTCCCTATCAACTCGAATCCATACCCGCTTCCACCCTCCTTTCTTTCCTCCCTCCTTCCTTCCTTCCTTCCTTCCTTCCTTCCTTCCTTCCTTCCTTCCTTCCTTCCTTCCTGTACTGAAGAAAGAGGAAGCTGATGTTTCAGCTGAGCCCTAGAAAACTGCTGAAAGCTTGGGGAAAATCTTGCAGGCAGAAACGCAGAGTTGAAGGCTGAATTTTGTCGGCAGCTTTCGCAAGTGCCCCTTCCTGGCTGTCCTTCCCCCGACAGCCAGTCACTCCCCGGCCACTGACACTGACACTCTGTAGTTATTTCGGATCTCCAGAGAGGAATGTCCCAGTCTGGAGCAAGAAAAACTCACCGGTCTCTTCTGTCAGTACCCCATTGCACAGTCCTGCAAGAGAAAGTGCTGCCAGGGCTCTGCCCCTCCTCCTCAGGACTTCTCCCAGCCAGCCTGCTGCCCAGGCCTCTTCCCACCCCCTGGTACTCACCACAGCAGAGAAGGGCTGTGACAATGAAGAACATGGTGACCCCTTGAGCTGTTCCCAGCAACCAGGCTTGTCTAGTGAGACCAGAAAAGAGAGGAGGTGCTGGGTTTGGGGAAGGGCGGGGAGAAGGGGGCGGCAATTTATGTCATTGGTTTCCTCATTACCCAATCGGGATTGGATATGGCCAGGATAATGGGATATGACCTTTTCTGACATCGAGGACTTTTCTTTTTGAGGGCCTAACCACCTACAAAACCTCTTGCTCTTTCGTGACCCACGTTCCCCCGTCCCTAGCCCATATCATATGTCAGCTCCCCTTGGCCCCTGATTAGGCTGTTGCTGGAATTAAGATGTCATATGGGAAAATGCTTTTGCATCTGCAGTTCTCAGAACCCCTGCAGCTCAGTGTGATCAGCAGCTCTGGGGAGTGGGGGTGGAGGGAGCAACCTTGAGTGTTTCTCCGTCATCAAGTTTAAGTTTGGAAGCAGTTGTTATTATGGTAGGATTGGTCCTCAGACCGACCTGCCTCACCTGCCTTTGTTATGGAAGGGTTGCCTAGGCAGCCGTGATGAATTACCAGAAGACTGTCAGTGCTGAGCTAAGCTTGTCGGAGTGGGATCCCCCTCCCTCCACACAGAGTATGACTAGAAATGTGCAGCAGCCTGACGCACAGGCTCTGTAGAGTTAGGTGATATTAAGGCAAAATCTATTTGACCACTTTTACTTAGAAAACATTGACCCTTCCCCTACTTCCTGGTCAGAAGAACCCTTTTCAAGCTGTTTTCTCTGAAATCTGGTTTCTGATCTCATCCTTTGATGCAGTGGTCCTGGGATGGGATGGGACACATGAAGTTACATTTTTTTTTCTGACCCCTGGCTTGGAGGGTACCCTAGTATGCATAGGACTCAGGGAAGAATCTAGGAAGATCCAGAAATTGAACTCCACTGAATCTTTTTGAAAATTCAAAGGGTGGTGGTTTTTGCAGAAAGCTTAGGTGGCTTCCCTCTCATTGTCCAAGCATGCTGTCCCTCAGATCCCAGTGGAAAACATGGGCACACATAATTATAGTCATCATCCGTTATTGAGCACTCCCAAACACACAAGGTTCTGTGATCACACAGGGGCAGAGGGGTACAGAGTGTGAGGGGGTGTGTGCAGAACGTTCAGAAAGTGAGACCCCCATGGGTAAGACAGGTTGTTTTTCTTCTCATTCCCTAGTAGAGTAGCATGAGCCAAGCCTTAGGGATTAGGAAGAGGGGTGGATATAAGGAAATGTCAAGAGGTTGGGTTTGGCTTGCCATTTTGTGGGTTAGAGGAAACAGTCTGACTCCCTGGCTCCATGCATTGCCTTAACAGATGTCTATCCAGGTTCAGACTTCATTCCCAAGATGCTTTGCACAGGAGGTTGGAGGCCACAATAGTAGAGAGACTGGTTTCTAAGGCAACTGAGATAGGGCACAAAGCTCTCTAGCCCTTGAGAGCTGGGGGTAATCATGAAAAGAGGGGATGGGAGTTGAATAACAACCCTAGAGAGAGAACAGCAGGCTATTTTATAAGAGAAAATAGTTTAGAGCATGTTAAAGGGGGAGACTATAATCATGCCTGAGGGGCGGGGAGGTTTGGGGGAGATGTGGGCACTCTAGGTGGAGGTCAGGTCAGGGAATACAGTTCGGGTTATTTCTCGAGCTCTGAGAATTATGCATTTTGCCACTCTCTGGAGTGGATGATCACCCCTCTGTGAGGTAAAAGAGAAACAACTGGGATGAGAAAGTCTTGTCTAAACTCAGAAGGTAGGGGCTGTGTAGGATGTGCCCCTGTAGCTTGTCTCAACTGCAAATGACCGGTTCCTGAGACCAGGGGAACCTGGAGTAGGGTGGAAAGCGGTAGGCTGGAACAAGGCAGTTACCTGATTCTGAGTCTCCGACACTTCCACCTGATCCACAGCAATACAAGCAGCAGGGCAACAAGCTGCATGACTAGGGACAACCTGATAGCTTCATTCAGAATGGAATTCCAGGTGACAAAGCCTGTGGCCAGAGAAGACCAGAAGCAGGGGCCTTAATGAGGACAGGAGAAGCTGAATAGATTCATGATGGGTGGGCGGGGGGGCTAGTTACCAAGAGTCCTTCCGTAGGGAAAGCGAGGCATAAGTGGCTTTCCTCTTCATGGAGAAGAGGAGCCTTGCAAGAATCCTGTTCACTGCCTTTAAGTGATTGTGAGACTACCCCAGGGGAAGGAAACCCAAACCCATGGACTCTCACTTCTGAGCCCCCGAATCCCTTTCCTGTATCTTTCTGGGCACTGGTCTAGGAATCCCAGGGGTATAGAGAGCCTTTCCTATGAAAAGTTAACCCCTCACCTGCTGGCCCCATCAGCTTCAGAGGCTTACTGCGATGTGACCAGATATTAGGGGGCGCCTCTACACGAGAGCTGCAACTGTAGGTCCCTGTGCCTTTCCCTTCAATGTTAGTGATGATGAAGTCTCCATCCTCTGAGAATGTATAGAATGCTGTTCTTTCTTCCCACTCCAGACAAAATTCAAGTACTGGATGAGATACTCGGCACTGAAGGGTGATGATCTTTCCTTCCTTAAACAGGGTGCTGGGCCAAGCTGACAGGGAGGGTTTAGGAGGCTTAGCTGAAACAGATCCAGACACCAGAGTTAGAACTGATCTTGAACTCAGTACCTCCCCACCCACTACCAAACTTTCCCGGGCTCCCCATTTGGTCTTCTCTTCCTTTCTACTTCCACTTGATCAATGGTTTCAAAATTTGACTGTGCATTAGGATTTCTTTTTCCCCGAATTCAGCACTTTCAGGATTCCTGGTTCCTACTTTAAGTCTGGAAGACTTCACACACTTAAGTTTCCCCTGGCCTTAAAGAAAATAATTTTTCTAGAGGTTACAGAGGGATTGGCCATGCTGAAAGGTGGAGCTTGAGGAACAACAATCTTGGGAGAGAAGTTCCTGAAGGATTTGGAGAAAGTTCTAAGCCACCCTACTAGTGTGCTTATCCTTGGCTCATAGCTCCAAGGGAGTGCCAAAGGCCACTAATCACTCCTTATAATATTATAATAATGATGAAAACAAGCAGATTAGTAATTTTTTTAAAAAGCAGTTGTTAGCACTTGCCTACAACCACAAGCTCCACAGAGTTGTGTGCTCCAGTCCTAATGGAGGTCTTCCAGGTGGGACGATAGTGGCAACTGTAGATGCCAGCATCATAGTGGGTCACATCACGGAGCAAGAATGGTTTGTTGTCACTAACGCTGGTGGCATCCAAAAACTGGAGTGGTTTCTCTTCTCCTTTCTTATACAGTTCAAGTCCCACACCGTCCACTGATCCGTGACACCTCAGGCTTACGTTCTGGCCCAATGGAACCACAGAACTAGGCCGAGCAAGGAGCCAGGTCTTGGGAAAAGCATCTAGAACAAGATCCAAAATACACAGGGCTAATTGTCTGACATCTCGCTCCCACAACTTAGAGTTCTTTCCCTCCTCGTCCTCCAGCTTACCATTGGCAAATCCCTACTTAGCCCTGCCTGTATAATTAGGATCTCCAGGGGATCCAGAGGAAGTCTTACATCCTCAGTTCCTAGTGTAGGTCCCATAGCATATATCACACCCCTTTCTTACCGGTTACCCAGATTTTCAGGATATCACTAAGCAGTGAACCCCTGTATGACCCATCATAGTAAAAACAGAGGTAATGTCCAGAATCGTGGATCTTCAGAGTCGGGAAGAAGAAGTATGCCTCATTTTTTATTGGCTTCTTATAGTAAAAAGACATCTCCAGGTCTTCAAGTCTCATTAAAGCAAAGGTCATTCCATAGATTGGCCCTTGGCACCTGAGACTCAGACTTTCTCCAGGTGCCATGATGGGCCCAGGAGATGCTGTCAGAGACGGTTTTGGGTAGAGTCCTAGAAAGGGAAGAGACCCTGGAGTTAGAGGTAGGATGATTCTGCCCTACTTTTCTATTTTTTGGGTGCTAGCTTTTGTGGATATCAAGTAGTGTCCTGAGGTTTGTCCACCCCAACCCCCAGCCTTTGATCTCTGCCTCGTCTAGAACGTAGCCAAGCATAGGTTTACTTATGCTGTTTTCCTCTCACCACCTCCTCTGAGCTCCCTACATCTAGGATCCCCTGTATCTGCAAGTTCCTGAAATGACAACTATAGTTCTTCCAAACCACCCAAAAAACTGAACCTCTGAAAATGACTTTGAGTCTATCTCTGTGGAGCATGCAGGTTAGCACATATTGTTAAGGAGAGTTTTTAAAAACACATTAAACTCACTTCAAACCAGATTTCCAACATAAGATTGGAAGATGCTACTAAAAAGAGTTGGGTCAATAAGGCTGCAACCCAATGGAATCTCTGTCAATGCAGGCCTACCCTCATGTCTATGGAGTGTTTCTCCCAGGTGATTAGACTACAAATGTGAAATCTCCTACCACCCTTTCTTGCCCCCATCCCAATCGAAGTTATACAATAGAAAGGTTGGCTCTGTCACGCACTCACAGAACATTTAGGATGTGGCAGGCATCATAGATGAGTAGGCTCATGAAGGTAAAGAAGACACAGCTCCTGTGATGAAAAATCTCATGGACTAATGGGGGATACTGAGCCACAGGTAACCACAGAAGTGTGTGTTAGTGGAATCTACACTGGAAGGGTGTGTGTGCAACAAACATCCACAACACAGTTCAAGCAGGCAGTCCTCTGTTCTTTGATTCTCAATAAAAAGCTATACTAATAAAATTAATATCTACCATTTATTGAGAGCTTATATGCCAGGCACTGTACATATATTTAGGCAAGTCCTCACAACAACCCTGTGAGGTAGGCATTTTGCAGATCAGCAAACTGAGGCAGAGAGAGGCATCACACAATAGGTCAGATAGATACTGTTATCTCATTTTAGAGAAGAAGAAACCAAAGCACAGAGAAGTGAAGTGACTTGCTCAAGATCACACAGGGAGGCAGAGGCAGAGGTGAACTAAAACCCAGGACTGCTGCTTCTAAATTCAGGGTACTTTCTGTAGCACAGCCTCTCCCATGTCTATGTAGCTTGATGGAGGGCCTGAAGTAAAAGTGGCCAGGTCCATCTAGAAACACCCAGGCCATGGGTCGGCCTAGCACTGGAGTGTGTGTCTGCCATGTGGGCTTTCAGGGAATCCATCTTCTGTTTACAACTTGGTGCTACCTTATTAGCTGTATTGATATGGGGCCAAAGTAATTTAGCAAGTCATCTGAAAAATACAAACTATCTCTTTCTTTTTCATTTCTTTGCAATCACTACACCCACAGTTCATTTGATTCCCACACTTAAAAAAATAATAATCACAGATAAATAAACACTTACAAATCTAAAGATCAGTTTATAAGACTGCATTGGCAGTGCCTGGCACATACTAGGTGCTCAATAAATACTGGTTGAAAGAATGAATGAATGCATGATATTCAATAGATAGAGAACAACAAAGCTGCGATGAGCTGAAGCTGCTGAACAGTGGGCCAAGCTCACTCATGAGCCAAATGATTGGCTCCCATATGTCTGCCTTGCAGCATATGCAATTCTAATTTGTGCCTCAGTGAAATGTTAAGTGACTGTATCTCATGGGCTTTGCAGGATGTAGGAACTGGCTGAAGGAATAAAATCATCAACCCTGGCTCAACCAGCCATGACCCCTGGGAGAATAATTGTCAGATGCCAGCAGCCATGGCCACACCCACCTGCTACAACCAGCTTCAGGGGGTCGCTGGGCTCTGACCAGAGAGTGGGGAGCATCTGGATGTGAGTGCGGCAGATGTAAACCCCTTCCTTGTCAGGTGTCATGTTGTCAATGGAGAAGATGGCCACTGTCCCGGTTGGGACTTGGTAATCTACAGGCTCTGCATACCCCTCTTTAAAGAGCATGAATACCAAGTCCTGCAGCCAGCCATGGCAGAGGATGTTAACGTTACATCCAGGAAGAGGGGGTGTCTCAGCCTGGATCCAGAAGATGGGCTTAGGCAGCTGGCCTGGAAAAAAAGAATGAACTGGAATTGGGTAGAGCAAAGATAGTGCTGTAGAGGGAGCAGTGGACAAGCCTCTAGCTTGGATGGGGCTTCCTTGTATGTTCCCTATTTGCCATCCCTTCTTTCTCCACTTCTGCTTCAGCATCTGCATCTTCGCTGAGCATTGTCTATTACAGAGTAGGCACTTATTAACTGTGGAATGCATGCATACATGCACACATTTGAGGTAAATGAGTGAATTAAATAAACCTTGTCCTAGAAGGCAAGTTTGAATCCCAGGAGCTGGATATTATTCGTGAGCATCTATCGCTATCTTCTTACCTGGTGCTTCCAACTCTAGAATTTTGCTGGGCTTTGACCAGCCTGTCTCCTTCCAGTAGCAGCACCTATAAAGACCTGTTTTGGATTCAGTGAGGGCACCTAAGAAGAACGAAGCCTGGAAGGTCTTGTAGGAAGGGCGGACCCATGTCATCTGTGTCTTATCCTTCAGCAGCAGGAACTTGCTTGATATCTGAGAGGGGCTTCTGCACCAAAGTGTGATGTTCTCCCAAGGGGCCTGTGGGTAGTTGGACTCTATCCACAGCTCCGGTTGAGATTCCATTGCTGTCATTTCCAAAGATCACAAAGACGTGAGCAGTCCAACCCCCTCTCTCCCATAATGCACCCCCCAACATATCTTAAAATTAGATGCAAATCCCTCCTCTTGCCTCTGGAAACAAGAGTGTCTGCTCATGAAAGGTTGGGATGGCAATCCCATGATATTTACTCCAGGAGCTCAAATGAGTCGGGGAATAAAGTGCAAGTCTAGCTCCCTCTCCACCTAAGACAGAGATCATCATGATTTTGTGGGAACCAAGTCATGAAGGGAGAGAAGCTCTGATTCCCAAGAAACCCAATCTGTCTTTAGGCTCTCCAGGAAGTTATGTCAGGGGTGTGGAGGCAGATCAATGTCTTGGCTCCTTCAGGAACCAAGGTACCCGAAAGGGGTGGAATTCACTTACCCATCGATGTCATACCTAGACTCAGCCCTGAAAAGAGAGATTAATGGTGAAAGACAGATCCTTTGTCCCTACTCTGTCCAACACCCTCAATACTCCCCTCTCTGCCCCCAGGGTACCCTTTCTCTGGGGTACCTAAGACAGTCACTTGCCCCTCACCCCTTCCATGTACTCACGAATGCAAAAGAGCAAGAGAGTGAATGTCCACAGCATGGTGGCCCCCTTCCCTGTTCTCTCCAGGGTCGTGGGGCCTCTGGTGCTGGGTGAGCACTCTGTGCCTTGAAGGGCTTTGCCTCTCAGCAGGTGGTGAGGTCTAAAAACAGAACTGTTGTCACTCAGGGGACTTGTCCTGCTCCTTAAAGATCACTAAACTGCACTTGAGGACCCTACATTCCACTCCCTCACAGGCATGCAGGGTATTACAAGACCACCTGCCATTTCCTCTCCGTGCCCCTTGTCCTCACTTCCCCATCCCCCCACCTAGTCTTCGCTGCTATCTAAGATGTCATTTTTGTTGAAATGTCTACTTGTCCCTGGGATCTCAGAGGCTCAGAGAGTAACCTAATATAAGCCTGCAATAAACCCCCTGAGATAGGAGGTGCAGGCACCTTTTCAGATCCTTTCCTCAGATACACTTATACATGCTGAGTGCTCTGATAACAGCTAAAGAGGCATTAATACCATTGCCATTTTGTTGACGAGGAAATGAATCTTAGAGAGGACATGTAATTTTCCCAAAGTTAAAAGGCATTAAACACTGAAGCCAAAATTCAAATCCATGCTTAACCTCAGGGCCTATGATCAAAACCACCATTTAAATTTCCCGAGGTGGCCCTTGCCCCCCACGTCAATTTCCTTTCTTCCTCCCATCTAATCCTTTTGAGACTGTCCCTTGTATGGAACGCCGCAGATTCATATTACCCTCCCTCATCTCTTATCCCCAAAAGCTTAATACTCCCATGGCAAGGAGGCACTGGACACTCAAACTGCTTACACTTTTTATTAACGTAAGGTATTAATGATCCTTTCGTGCCCATAACTTCTATGTAGTTTTGTTCACTGTCCAAGGAAAATGGAATTGTTTGAAATTTCAGGAAATCTGACAAAAATGTTTGAATTCAAGGAGGCTTTCCTGATTTTCCCAGAAGTCACTATTGACTATAGGTTCTTCCTATGCTGGTGGCACCCAGAGTTGCTGTGCCTTCCTCTGCCCCCAGTAACTTTTCACCAAGGGAAAGTGTGTACTCCACAAACTCAGTTTAATTTTCTAGCACTGAATCTACTCTGAGTCAGAGGTCCTGGCTGGCCTCGGTTGTTTAATCTTAGCTCAGCAGAGAGAGGCAGAGGCAACTCTCAGAACAGAGAAAGGGACCAATTTTTGCCTCTCCAAGCTCATCTCAGGACCTCAGCTTCTAACTTGTTTTTTTGTTTGTTTCTTTGTTTTTTGTTTTGGTACCGGGAATCAAACTCACAACCTCGTGCTTGCCAGGTAGGCGCTGTGCCACTGAGCTACATCCTGGCCTGTCAGCTTCTAACTCGGTTCAGTGCTAAGGATGAGCAAAATGGAGAAGCAGGAAGAGGGGAAGAGTCCTTTTCAAAACATCAGGGCTGTAGAGAGCATGTGACAGTGAAAATTCAAGAAAGCAGAGCTCTGCTTTGCACTTAGCACTTTGTATTGAAGAATGCTTCATTTGCCCTCCTTAAACTTGTCTCGTTGGACTTTCCTTATCTGTTAAATAGGGGAATACTATCTACCTAGCATTGTTGTTTTGGATTAAAAGCAAATTTGTACAGTGCCAGACATATAGTGAGAATGTCATATAGAAGGTGGGTTTTCTCCTTCTTTACTAAGGGGGCATCCCAATGGTGTAGGGCCCAAAAGATGCTCTTCCCATCTGAGTTCCTGCAGCACCTTGTCCCTCTACTCTGAGCGCCAGGACAAAGCTTGGATGCCACCCTGTTGCTCTGTTCCCCTGAGGTGGTCTGGGCCAGGATCTGTGGGGAAGCCAGGTTCTTCTGCCCAGGGAAAGGTTCAGGCTGGGCTTCTACTCAGGAAATGCTATTTGAAGTTCCATTTGAAGTACCATATGGAGCCCCAAATCAGGATGTTTGCCTCCTGAGGGCTTGTGTGAAACAGGGAAACTGGACTTCTCAGCATGACTGACCACTCTTCAGTCACTAAGGAAACTGTACCATTTATACCCAGCCAAAATAAGGAATCTTGTGCCCAGGGGACAAGGGAGCAGTCTTAAGCTTCAGGTTCATTGGCCACACCTATTTTTGCCCTTTCACCCCACCCCCACTCCCAGTTTAGGCTGCTTAACCATTTCACCATCCCTTCTACACCACCCAAGCACTTCCCCATCCTTAGGCAGCGCCGCAGTGCTTGGGAGGGCAGCATACCCAAAATGTCTAATAGCTTGCCCCTGCACAGCTTTGAGGGCTCCAGGACTCAAAGGGGTGGGGCTCGGCAGGGTGCAGGCTACCTGCTCAGCTGAGGGTTTGGAGGGAAGACTGAGAAGGAAAAGGGAAGATTTCTACAGTGCCCAGACATCTCTGCGAGGCACGGCTGGGATCCGGGGAGGGAAGGAGGAAGGCAGGGATGAAGGGGGTGAGGGGACAGACTAGTGGGGAGCAGTTTGATTTATGGCGATTAATTACTGCAAGGAGACTCTCTTGGGGTTTTGTTTAGAATCTGGTGGCCAGTAATTAATCTTCAGCCACTGCACTATGCGCTCATTTGCAGGTACTTACGGTAGTTGAAGGCCAGCTCCGCTGTTGGAGGTTCTCCAGCGAGCTCCTTCAGATGCAGCGAACTGCCCGGCATGGGGAGAGCTGTCTAAGGACAGCCTCTCAGACTCCGAGCCCCGCCTCCCTCTCTCCCCCGCCCGCCGGCCGGTCCGCCCCAACCTTCTCCCCTCCCTCGCCAGGCTCTGGAGCCCACCTCTACCAACTCTGCCTAGCACCTGCAGTCCTCTGATGCCTGGGATTTCTACGCCCCTCCCAACTCTCCGCCTTTCTCCTGACTCCCTGCAGGGGTTGCCCGTGCCAAACTCAGGCCCCTGCCCCCTGCCTGTCGCTCAGAGTTTCGTTGGGTCACTGTATCCTGGAGGCGAGAGGGCCAGCTCTTAAGACAGCCAAAGCTGTAGATCCTCCTCGCCAGCTCCTCAATGCCTTTAAAGGGATCTCAGGTCTTCCTTTGCTCGTTTAACGCCCCAGTGTATTCGTAAACACCGCTGAGATGGTTTAAATGCCTACTACACGACCCGGGACCTCAGCATCTATTATTTCTAATCTTGACAGCAACCCTACAAGTTGAGGGTTTCTTTCGTGAACTTTACGTAGGAGGCAACTGAATCTCAGACAGGGTTAAGTAACTTGAACAGTCTTCAAAGTCCAGCTTGGGATAAACACCCAGGCTTTAGAAACATACAAATTTAGATTTCAGTTCAGGTTCCACATTCAATAGCTGTGTGACCTCAAGCAAGTGAGTTAAATTCTCTGAGTCCCGGTTTGCCCATCCTTAAAATAAAGAAAACAGCAGAACAGAGATCACAACCGTTTGGTGGGTGAATTCCAGTTAAACTGAGAGCACAATAGATCTGGCACATAGGAGTTTCTCAGTAAATGGTGCATCCTCTTATTGTTGCTGTTAACAGTAGTACCTACTATTATTAATCTATAAAGCCTCCCTCAACTTGGAGCAATGTGATTTTCTCAAAATACAGCAATCTTTCATAAATGATTAAGAGTGACATTTTAGAATGATAATGCATGGAAAAGACACTGACCAAAGTCCTTGACATGTAGTATGTGATGGCAGTAAAATGTAGGGTCCAATAGACTCACAGACCAACTGGTAAACAAATCCTCAGCACACACCAATTGGTAAAAAATAGACAATTTTTTCTGTATGTACATGTGCATTTCTACTTTCACAAAAGATTATATATTATTAAATGAGAAATCCTTTAATTCAAGAACAAACTGTGTAAAAATTAAGTAGCAGCTCTCTGAATATGAGATCTTCATGCATCAGGTGATACCAGTGATGGCATTCTCAGCTCCTACAGACCGCTGTAAACTGCAGACTGTTATGCAATGATTAGAATACCCAAATGAATCTAAATATGTGTTTCTGGTTTCAAGTTTTTAAAACCTCTCTAAGCCTCGTGTGCCTATTTGTAAAATGGGGACAACAAGTGCGTTTACTATCAGGCAGGGTTTTGGGTAGGACTGAATAAAAACTCCCCTGTATACCACTACATCGGGCTGGGGATCCAATAAACAGCCATTAATTCAACACTTGTTTGTTGAGTACCTTCTTTGCGGCAGGCATTGTTCTGAATGCTGAGGATTCAGAGAGCTGATGCTTCGTCCTGTGAAAGAGTCAGTAGTCTGAGGATAACTCGTGATAGAGCATGAGTAGGAGGGGAGCCAGAGCAAAAGCCTTGAGAATCAGAGGCTTGCAACAGGGAAAATCAGCAAGAGAGGCTCGATGGTGTGCCTCGGGAGACTTGCCAACAGTTTGCTGTTGTTGCTGTGTGCCTAAACTAGGGCAGGGCTAGCAGAGAAGGAGGGAGGAACAATGGGTTTCAAAACATTGCGGGAGGAAAAGTGGACAAACTTAACGTTTGTTTGGAACATGATAGTGGTGGTTATTATCTGTCAGAGTGGAAACATTCATGCCAATTTTCAAAACATTTATATAGAAATCGCTATGATAGCACCAGGCACTAAGTGCTTTATAAATCTTAACTCGTTTAATCACCATAGCAACACCAGGAAGTAGCTATCATTATCAGCCCCATTTTACAGATGAAGAAACTGAAAAACTGCCATTAAGCAAATTGCCCAAGGTCGACACAGCCAGCAGTGGATTTTGATGGAGGCAGCCTGCATACCGTGTCCCATATGCTGAGCTGCTGCCCTATGCTGCCTTTGCACTGGAGGCTTTGGATGACACCATGTTAAACTAAAAGATAAGAAAAGAGCCACAAGCATGTGTGAAAGTGCTTTGGAAGATAAAACAAAGCACCAATCAAATGCACTATTAATAATGTGGAAAGAAGGCAAGGAAGTTTCCCCCAGCTCTCTACAAGTTCAAGGGTGGAAAGCTTGGGCTCTTGGACCAGCAGGCTGAGTCTAGAGCCCAGAATGCCCCCTCTCTGGCTGAGAATGCCTGAGAAGGTCCTGAGCTGTGTGGTCAGAATAGCACTCACTCTCTCTTGTCTTTTGCTCTGGGACATTTAGGAGTCTTGAAGGGACTTATTATTCAGGCTTCATAGAAGCCC